TTAACTATTTCTTATGATTTTAAATCTGCATTGAACTTCAGATCAATCTCAAAGTAAAAGGCGGTACTAAAGTCTGATTTTATGGTGGATGTGATCAAATTTGATCATCTTAATTCAAGTGATTAAGGATTTTGAAAGTCTGACAGTGTTGAGCACTACTGTAAGGTTAACCCTGCATGGTGTAAATGTTTGAAAATGATAAACAGTTGTAAGTAAACAGTCATTAGAAATTTAGAAAAGTAATCAAAAGTAATCAGTTTAATACTTACTTTAATAAAGTAATTGAAAAAGTTACACTACGATTACATTTTAAATAGGCTAACTTGTAATCTGTAACCTATTACATTTCCAAAGTAACCTTCCCAACACTGCCGGTTACATAGATATGGCACCGGGTTTCGGTACCCAACCCTATAGGATGCCTTGAGGGGGAGTAATTCATGGGCTAATTTTCATTTTTGGGTGAACTAACCCTTTAACCCCCATCATCACTAAATGTTTTGAAAGACTCCTCCTCTCTTATATTAAATCTGCCATCCCTGCTGACCTTGATCAACATCAGTTTGCATATCGAGCAAACAGATCAAAAGAAGATGCAGTCGTCACAGCTCTCCACACAGCCCTTACACACCTGGACCAGGGAAACACCTATGTAAGAATGCTGTTTGTGGATTTCAGCTCAGCTTTTAACACAGTCATTCCTCATAGATTGGTTCAAAATCTGTACGACCTGGGTTTAATCAGCTCACTGTGCACATGGGTTTGTTTTGTATTGAAATGGTTTTCTATATGCCTGCAGACAGCTATTAATTAAAATATAATAAAATGAGCATGGTATGTCATATTAAGGATTTTAAACAAGTGGGGCATGCTCATGCACTCTTTGTAGGCTATTCATATTACACAGTTTAGCCATAAATTGCTGTTTTAGAGACTAATTTGTAGCAGATAAATATGGGAATGTTATATAGGCTAAATGTTTGATACAAAAATGTGCTTAGCTACAGATATTGCAACAAAAGAAGTTACAACACTTCTAGGTGTCGTGTCCCCGACTGAAAAAAGTATGATTGCTGGATATAACTTCAATATATCGAAGTTTTATTTTATATTTCTCATAAAAAATATCCCAGGTAGCCAAAACGGTTTGGCCCGATAATGGCCCAGATCCGGCAGGCCGGATGAAATAACTTGGCCCGGCTGCCAGAGTCGGCATGGACATGGGATGAATGACGCCCCAGAATTCATACACACATTCAAATACACTGGCCCGAGTCCGGCTGCCAAAACTGCCGGCATTGGGCCACAATCACGCCGACAAGAATTGAAACACTTAACCGGTACTGGCCAGAGTCTGGGTACTGAAACTGGGACAACACCACCAGCATTGGGCCACAATCACACCGACGAGTGGCCCAATGCCGGTGGTGTCCGATTCGTGAGCACGCAATTTCAGCACTGCTGAGTGGATTCTAACTTAATCACCTCTGATTGGCCACTGCGTTCCAGAAATCAACAGCTATGTCTGTGATTGGCTACATTGCGCAATCCTTTAAACACGTGTTATAAATAGAAACTCTGCCTAGCTTGCACATGTTAATCATTTTAATGTTAATATTAGTTGTTCTTTTTTACTTTTGTGCAACAGATAAATAATAATTTATATGTTTTAGACATTTTATGTTTAGATAATTTCTATTTTGCAGGAGTCCCGCGAATTATTTTATTCTCCCGCATCCCGCACATGCCTCTCTTCCCGCCCGCACCCGCACTCGCCCATCAAGAGTTGTCCCGCACCGCACCCCGTTGCGTTGGGTCCCGCGGAGCACATATGGATGTTATGGGGTAATTCATGGTGTCGGAGCACATATGGATGTTATGGGGTAATTCATGGTGTCGGTGGGGATGCCATGAAAAGAAATGGTGTAAGAGCCAAACCCTTAATCTTTGTAAGTGTTTCCATTTCTCGTCAGTGTGATTGTGGCCCAATGCCGGTGGAGTTGGCCTAGTTTCAGTACCCAGACTCGGCCCAGTAACGGCTAAGTGTTTAATTTCTCGTCGGTGTGATTGTGGCCCAATGCCGGTGGTGTTGTCTCAGTTTCAGTACCCAGACTCGGGCCAGTACTGGCTAAGCGTTTCATTTCTTGTCGGTGTGATTGTGGCCCAATGCCGGTGGTGTTGTCTCAGTTTCAGTACCCAGACTCGGGCCAGTACCGGCTAAGTGTTTCTCTGCAGAGTTTAGCTCCAACCAGCTCCAATTCACACCTGCTTGAAAGTTTCTAGTAATCCTGAAGACCTTGATTAGCCGGATCAGGTGTGCTTGATTATGGTTGGAGCTAAACTCTACCACTATGTCAGCGAACTCATGTTATATGTTAGATTATCAAATGTTTACTCACCAGTGTATTAAGTTCTTCTGGTCTTCTGGCAATTAGCAGCACAAAAAGCCCATCAGGTTTTGTCATTAGATGTCAAAGCTAGTGAGCAAGTCTTGAAACTCATATAGCAAAAATAATGTTACATTTCCCTTAACCACTTTAAGCTTGTTTCATTATATTAATTAAATCATTAATTTCCAAATGTAGTTAAAGAAAAAAAGAGAATGTTGGATAAAAGGGAAAAATATTAATAGGAATTAAAATAAAAAATACACTAAAAAATAACATATCAAGGACAGGTAAAAGATATTATGTTTAAGTTTAAGTGTCACTGCTACATACTATTTACCACATTGTAAACGGAGACCCACCCCCAGCACTCAACTTAAACTGGTCCGGGTATGCATGCCCATATCTCAGCCAAAATCAGACCAGCCCCTATGGTCCGTAATCGGGCCGAATGTGGTTAAATGTGCCGTGTGTCTCAGTGCAAATCGGGCCAGATCCGCATATCCAAAGCCTAGCCAAATCTGGCAACCATTACTGGGCCAGAGCTGGCTCACTTTCGGTGAGCCACTGCCAGAACACAGCCGAGTGAGCAGAGACTAAGCCGCAATTGGCCCGATTGCGCTGGCAACCTGGGATGCTGTAGGCTACATACAAAAGGCGCCGAAATGAGCCCTACTCAAACACGCCCTCTCTCTCTCTCTTTGCTGCTCTTGAGAGGGAAGTAAACGACTCTTTCGTTTCCATCACTAGGCTGACTTTTATGCAAGGTCCGCAGGTGTTTTTGACCGACCAGAATCAAGAAACGAATTCACATGAACATTCGGATTTTTGGAGAAACATTTACCAACGTCGAGCCTAATGAACCGTCCGCACCTGCTGAAAGCGTTTTGTTCTGGATCGTATTGGTTCTACTACTGTATGAGCGAGGCCTGAAGAAGCGGTAGGATGTCAAGTGCTACAGATGATGTCAACTCGTATCCACACGTACGTGTTTGGGCAGCGGGAGTTTCTTTGATCATTTTGGCTTTTTTCAACTTGATCATCAACTGGACCATAGTGCGCGAGGAGCGCCTGCGGAGCCACGCGCGCTTCGTCCTCGTGTTCCATTTATTGTTCTCCGCGCTGGTTTACTTCGCAGTATGCTTTAGCTTCTACTTACAAAACTACCTGAAAGCAGCGACCACGGCAACCATTTGCATGGTGCTAATCAGAAGTCTGATGACAAGCGGTTCCAACATCATCCTCACCATCACGGCGATGGCACTGGACCGTTATTTTGCCATATGTTACCCGCTCCACTATAGCAAAGTTTGTTTCAAACCCTGGCCATGGCTCATCGGGGTCCTAACATGGGGACTCGCGTCGATTATTCCTCTTACCCTATCGCCCAAAATAGAAAATGGCACTGTGCCCTGTGGAAGGAAATCTTTGCAAGGCGGAGAAATGCACAAAATCGTTTTAATATCAATTTGTACTGTTCTTATCGTGTACAGCTATGTACGGATCTTATATGAGGGGCGTCGTCTGGGTGTGTTGAACCGGCGCAACCGAGCTGCGTGTAGGACTATCGCTCTCCACGGCACGCAGTTGGCCGTCTTCATCCTCCCCAATTTCATACTGTTTTTGCTGCATATCCTTAAAAGCAAAAAGTCACTCAAGAGTTCCACAAAAGAGCTTTTTGCTGTCATAAGTTTTGCCTTCTTCAGCCTGGCGCAGTGCATCGCGCCGATAGTATACGGACTGCGTAAAGAGGAACTACTGGAACATCTTAATCACCGGTTCCCGTGTTTATCCGGCCAGTTGAAGCGCATTTTGGAGTGGACTGTCAACATCACACATCCCAATCGGCGTCGCCAGCAAAGGTAGGTGAATACAGTAGAATAATAATTTACCGCGTACTTGTCTCTGCGAAGGCGCATTTCGCATCGCAATTTAGGTGCATTTGGTAACGCGCACGTGCCATTAAGTTAACACTTGTGTTAAGACTGTTTTCGTGTTTAAGACAAAAATGTTTGGCTTTTGCTTATGGTCTTGTGTGGACTGTGATCTGGCGAAGTATTGCTTAGGTTGATTGGATTATCATACACTTAAAAATAAACGTTCCAATTTAGCTTTCTTTTACAGCGTCGTGTCATAGACACATAGTACTTTTTATTCCGCTGGTCTACTTTATCTTCTATTAACTGCTTTAAATAAGCAAAAAGACAAAAAATAAATAAAAACCTTACAGACAACTCAAGATCCCTGTAATGGTTCATGATAAAAAAGAGTCCTAGGCCTATTTTTTTTAAAGTGAGTTTATACCCCTGAATTAAAAATGAAAACCATCTGTTTCACACGTTTGCCCCTATTCTTGCATGACACATCCAAAGATTCCCCCACAACTCTAAGTCAAAACAAGCATCCTAACAATAGGCCTATTTAGAAACAGTAATTTTTTTTTAACTCAATTAAATATCATATCCTTCTGAGATGTAAAAAATTACATGTCCTGAACATAAGACACCATTTTACCTATTTTTAGTTAACATACTATTGTGTTAGGTATTAAAGTATCTTAAATAGGATATACTGGCATACTTTGTCATTTCAAATGTTCTGGGGGTGTGGCCAAATGTGTTATAAGAATATATATTATAGCAATATGGAAATATAATAATATTAATTGTTTGCTCATTGGATATTAAAAGACAATATAATACAAAAGTAAAAATATATTTGTATGGGATTCTAAATACTGTTTATTTTGCTTGATCTCAGGAGAATATATACTCTGGTCGACAAGGTAAATATTTTGATAAATGTCTGCGTGAGAGCCACAAATCTGTTTCCACATCAAAATGAAGTACAGTCATGGCCAAAAGTTTTGGCAGTGACATAAATTTTGTGTTTCGCAAAGTTTGCTGCTTCAGTATTTTTTAATAATTTTTCTACATGTTTCTATGGTATACTGAAAATCAATAAGCATATCATAAGTTTTAAAGGCTTTTATTGGCAAAAAAATATAATGAGTCAATATATACAGTGTTGACCCTTGTTCTTCATAACCTCTGCAATTCACTCTGGCATGCTGGATATTAGCTTCTGGGCCAAATCCTGACTGATGGCGATCCATTCTTGCCTTATTAGTTCTCAGAGTTGATCACAATTTGTGGGCTTCTGCTTGTCCACTCGCCTTTTGAGGACTGACCACTGTTGGCTTCTGCTTGTCCACTTGCCTTTTGAGGACTGACCACAGTTTCTCTATGGGATTGAGATCCGGGGAGTTGCCTGGCCACCGATCCAAAATTTCAATGTAATGATCTTCGAGCCACTTCTTTCTCATTCTTGCTTTGTGACATGGTGCCCCATCATGCTGGAAAATGCACAGATCATCACCAAATTGCTCATGGATCGTTGGAAGAAGTCGCTCTTGCAGGACGTTTTGATACCATTCTTTATTCATGGCAGTGTTTTGGGGTAGAATTATGAGAGAGCCCACTCCCTTGGTTGAAAAGCAACCCCACACATGGATGGTCTCTGGATGCTTCACTGTTGGCACAACACAGGACTCATGGTAGTGTTCACCTTTTCTTCTCCGAACAATCAATTTTCCAGAAATTACCCAAACAGTCGGAAGGGAGCTTCATCAGAGAAAATAACTTTGCACCAGTCTTCTGCTATCCAATCCTTGTACTTCCTGCAGAATTTCAGTCTGTCCTTGACGTTGGAGAGAAGTGGCTTCTTTGCTGCCCTTCTTGACATCAGGCCGTTGTCCAAAAGTCTTGGCCTCACTGTGCGTGCAGATGCTCTCACACCAACCTGCTGCCATTCCTGAGCAAGCTCTGCACTGGTGGTGACACAATTCCGTAGCGGACTCCTCAGGAGGAGACGTCCTGGCACTTGCCCTCTGGGACGTCCTGAAGACTTCTTCACTGCAGTCGAACCTCTCTCCTTGAAGTTCTTGATCCGATAAATGGTTCTTGCAGGTGCAATATTCTTTGTTGCAATTTCCTTGCCTGTGAGGCCATTTTGATGCAAAGCGATGACGGCTGCACGTGTTTCTTTGGAGGTAACCATTGCTAACAAGAACACAATGATTGGAAGCTCTTCTTCCCTCCTTTTATAGCAATCAGTCTGCTCTTACAATCTAATTAGTATGATAGTGATTTTACCTGACTAGTACTCATTTACACTTTCACATGTGCTGCTGATATGATTAGTCAATTAATGTTAGCTGGTCATTTTGTGTCAAGATCAAAAAACAGTGAAATGTGTTTTTTGTGAAAAGTTAATTTTTTGGCCAGTGAAGCTTTTAGCAATTATTTAAAATGCATCTGATACACAGTAATCTAGAAACAATGTGAATGAACACCACAACAGCTTAAGCTGCTCTTACAATCTAATTAGTATGATAGTGATTTCACCTGACTAGTACTCATTCACACTTTTACGTTTGCTGCTGATATGATTAGTCAATTAATGTTAGCTGGTCATTTTGTGTCAGGATCAAAAAACAATGAAATAAATTTTTTTGTGAAAAGTTCTTTTTTTGGCCAATGAAGCTTTTAGCAATTATTTAAAATGCATCTGATCACTCTACACAATAATCTAGAAACAATGTGAATGAACAACAGCTTAAGCAGCAAACTTTGCAAAACACAAAATTTATGTCACTGCCAAAACCTTTGGCCATGACTGTATAATAAATCTTACTGACCCCAAAGTTTTGAACAGTAGTGTTGACCTATGATAAAGATTCAGAAAGATGTTGATATTTATTCAAGGGAACTGGTGCTTACTTTAAATTATTTGGTGGTTTTATCAGGCAAAAGCCGCATTTCACACCTACGACCACAGACTCACGTCTGACATGTTTTCAAACCTGAGAGACTACTGACAAAAATAAAAAATGTCTTCTCTACGCTGGTTTGCTGATCTCCTAGCCTGATCAGACTGGTTTTAGAGGGGTTTTGCCCAAATAAACTAGATGAGCACCAGCTTGTACAGGCTGGTGGATCTTAAATCAGCCAAGACCAGTAAACCACCTCAGGCAGTTTTCTTTCAGCAGTCAGTAAAACAAAATACCATACTGAAAAATTATTGACAACCAAATTGTACATGATATGAAATCCATGCTGGAATTTTTATTAATCTAACATACTGTGTTTATTTCAGGGAGCGGAGAATGACTTCAGAGACTTTATTATCAAGAGAGATCTCACAGACGACTGTGTGACATCTTTGGATTAAGAGAAAGACCTGATGTTGATTTCTTCAAAAGGAATATTTGCTTACCGAGACTGAGATTTTTTTACTGAGAAAACAAACTTGTGACTTTCAGAAAACTGAGAGATTTTTTATTCTTCAAGCCATCAATTCATTAAGTCTGAGTAAAATACAACAGCTACACAGTGTTCAGGAATTACTTTTGCCAAATGGAGAGCTGAAGAAATAGTCAACTGTGATTTCTAAATTAACATTAAAGGCAGAGTAAGTGATTTTTCTAAAGTGTTTTTGAAAAATCACTTACTCTGCCTTTAACTGTAAATTGTACCACATAATTCTTACTTGTTCACATGACAATAAGTCACTGAGACTTATTGTCATGTGAACAAGTAAGAATTATGTGGCAAGGATCTGAATTCTTATTTTTCTAAAAGCTGTACCAATGTCTTCTCTTGTATCCTTTGTTTTGGCAAAACTTAACAGTATTTCGCAGTCATATATATAAGCTAATGACCCAAGTAAACAAACTATAACTTAGACTGTGAAACAGGTTCAATTAAATTGTAATTTTTGTGTAGTTAAACTGGTGACACTGCAAGGTTTGTAGTATTTGATATACTGTTTGTAACCACAGCATCCTGAGTTGACAAGACACACTGATATAATAAGATCACTAATGTTTTTTTTACAGTTTCCTGTAAACTGTCTATTTACAATATAATACTGCATCCACAAGCTAATGCACTGGTGAAAGGACAAAACGTATGATTCTGTGAGATTTCGAATATTGTTAAGCACTGCAACAAGGAGTGAGTATTTACAATTACGTCAGGCCAGTGCAGCTGTATTGTTAACAGGCGTTTTTTGTATGTTTGCTTTATAAGTAATCACATGCCTTATGGGAAATGCAACAGGAAATAAAAGAAGGGGAAAAAATCGTTTAAAAATAAATGGCTTTACAAAAAAATCCAACGGGGGGAACAAACGTACCATCTTCTCTCGCAGGCATCATACATCTGTGTAATTTCTAAATTAGAGAAGTTTATGTGGTATTGGCCATTTGTAATAAAGACCTTTTGTATTTATGTTAAGATCATAATGTTATTTAGTTCACAAGTTCCATTAAAAAAACCACACACATTTCTAAGTAACTGAGACAAACGACTTGTTCATGATATGAGACTCAAAAGAGTTTCTATTTTAGTTATGAGAACAAACTTCTGGTTGACTCTGGATAAGCCACTCCACATTAAAACCATGGGAACAGCTAAAGTTGAGGTTCGATATGTAAAACCGCCAAATAAAAATTTTGTCCAACAATGACAAATTGAAAACATTTGCAAAATGCTAGCAGCTGGACCGGATATTGGGCTGAGGTTTGTTGACAAGCCTAAAGTGCTTCAGTCAGAGCTTTTAACACTCTTCAAAGCAGACTAGGTTTCACCATTGGTTAATTTTAATCAACTTTTTTTTTTTAATTTAGGCTTGATTACATATACAAAAAGAACTAAATTCATAAACAAACACAAATCCAATCCTTCAATGTACACCTAAATCTGCGAGTCCTATTCATTCATTTACATACTTTATTTTGAAATATTAAAGCACTCCAGTGGTCGAAGTACACAATGTGACAGACTCCACTCATAATGGATTGCAGCACTGAACAGTCTGGGTTAAGAGATATGGGCAGGTGTGACTGACTGGTTAGAGAAGAGATGGTCGGGTGATAGGAGGAGGAGCAGAGCTTTAAAAGCCCAGAGGATGAGGAGATACCACCCCTCCGTTTTCTACCACAGCAGCAGAAATGGCACGCAAGTTCTTGAAGATCTGCTTGGATGTCCCTGACCTGAGGAACTTGATGTCCTGCATGACTCTCTCATAGGCCTAAAGGAAAGAAATCACAGATTAATGCTTAAAGATGGGAAGAAGTTAAAGGAGAAGTAAAAAACAAAACAAAAAAACATGGACACTGAACACTGACCTCAGTAACCCAGGTTTCACACAGCATCTTCTCATGCTGTGCAGAAGGGTGACCTTGGCTGACAGACCTGGAAGCTCTGAGAAAGAAAAACGAGTAAACACACACAAACAAGCGCAAATATTGTGTCATAAGTAGAGCTGAATGAACTCTCCTTTAATTAGGAGATTAACGACTGTATTTCCAGTAATGCATGAGCATCCAGTTTATATTTTCAATTACTACATTCATTAATACATAAACAACCAGATTTGTATGTTTTCAGAAGGAAATCTTGAGCTTACTGTCCCAAATCGGCAGAGCCTATCCAAAAGTGTCTATGATATTCTGTTAAGCTTGAATCTCTCATTCATTGTAACTCAATTGCATTTTTTAGTAATAGCACACCTTTCCTTTTTTAAAGGGATAGTTCACCCAAAAATGAAAATCAGTCCATTATTTACTCACCTTCAAGCCATCCTAGGCGTATACGACTTCCTTCTTTCAGATGAATCCAATCGGAGTTATATAAAAAATTGTCTTTGATCTTCCAAGCTGTCAGGAGGCCTTTGTTCACCCCCCGGAGCCGTGTGAGGCACTTTTTATTATGGATGGATGCGCTTTATTTCACTTCTTTTGGACTCATGCACTGCAACACCCGCTGACTGCCATTAAACAGCTTGAAAGATCAAAGACAATTTTTTATATAACTCCGACTGGATTTGTCTGAAAGAAGAAAGTCATATAACACCTAGGATGCCCTGAGGGCGAGTAATTCAATTAAATTTTCATTTTTGGGTGAACTAACCCTTTAAGCTGCATGATTTGAGGTAACCTTTACATCCTTAGTACAAACAGTGTCGAAGTTGAACACTTTGAGTTAGGGTTTTTTTCTTTAAAAAACACCTTACCCTGAGTATGAGCAGTTGTAAAGGTTATGCAAATTAATACATGTATATAACCTACCTGGACAAGACCACAACCATGGCGTACAGATCAATGGCACAGTCTGCAACTCGCTTCAGAACAAATTGTTCATCTAAAAAGCCACATGTACAGAATCACTCATATGGACACCTGACATAAGCTTTTGTCACAATATTTAGCTGTAATAAGGAAAATATGTAAAGTGAAAGCAAAAAAAGTTGAAACCAGGAAGAATTAACATGCAAAACACATACACACAAAAATCTGCAGCAAATTGCCAACGCAGACTAAAGCAAATAATATAATCTAGCAAGATCTAGCAGCACTATGCAAACACATCACTCACCAATGATTCTCTTTCCATGTTTCAGGAGAAGCTCTTCAATAACAGCTCCAAACTGCTCAATGGCTTTAACAGTCTTTATGAGGGAAAAAATTATAATTTAGCCCTGCGATCTACGTCTTATTTAGGCTTTGGTGTTCTTGCTGGTATCCTGGCTATTTCTTATGATTATTTCTGAGTAAATATCATTCCAGCATTGGATGAACATCATCGCAGTGTTGTCCAAGCACTATGGCTTTGCTTTAATTTACCAATTCTCCACTGTGGTTAAGCTCTGGATGGACCGTTCCCTGCAACGTCAGTCCTGTCCCCAAGCCTGCCTTCCTGTCAGATACAGAGAGATAAAGACAGACATATTGCAGGCTTATCAAGTTGATGCAAAGTACATGACAATGCAAAACAAAACGTCTTGCAAGTGTTTTTAGAGATATGAAGGTCTAACCTCTTGGCTCGCTTTGTGATTTCACTCGCCAACATCCCAGCATTACCAAAAGGGTTCTTTAGAGCTTTCTGCAAGCTCTTTAGCTGATTGCCTGCATTCTACCGAACAGAACACACATTTGAAACGTAATTTCTATACTGTTTGCATTAAAAGCATGTGCATTGGCAAACACCAATGGCAGTTTTTAGTAGTGCCAGATGTCAACAACCACACATGCTGTGAGCTTTAGGTGGTTTTGCAGTACAGGAAACTGTAAGGCAGGCAGTTATGTTCTCGGCAGTGTTTTCTTTCCCCTTTTACCTGGAAGCCGTTGAGCGCTACGAACAGTCGCAGGATGTCATTGGTACCCTCAAAGATTCTGAAGATTCGCAGGTCCCTCAATACCCTTTCCACACCAGCGTCCTGCATCAATAACATGTAATGTGAGTGTGAGACTGTCAAATTCCCACAAAAATAATCAATCCATTCTTTTAATTCAGTTTAAATAGGAAATTACACAATACATGAGAACATGATAGAAATAATTTTCAAAAATCCTGATGATGGAAAAAAAGTTATGGCATGTGTGTGAGAAATACAGTACAGTAAAATTTTGGAATAATTAAGATTAAGTCTCTTATGCTCACCCAGGCTGCATTTATTTCATGAATAATACAGTAAAAACAGTAATAATTTCACAACAGCCATTACTCCTGTCTTCAGTGTCATGTGATTCTTTAGAAATCATCCTAATTTGCTAAATTAAGTTCTCAAATTTGTATTATTATTTTTTATCAATGTTGACATTTTTTTTGCTGCTTAACATTTTATGGGAACCATGATAGACTACCATTCGTAAGTTTGGTTAAGTAAGAAAAATAACACTTTTATAACACCTTTATACAGCAAGGACACATTAAACTGTTTAAAAGTGACAGTAAAGACATTTATAACGTTACATAAGATTTATATTTCAAATAAATGCTGTTCTTCGAACTTTCTATTTATCAAATAATTCTAAAAAATGTATCATGGTTTCCACAATAGTGTAAAAAAAACATGCACAGACAAATCCAAATTAAACCCTGCGGCTCGCGACGACACATTGATGTCCTAAGACACGAAACGATCGGTTTGTGCGAGAAACCGAACAGTATTTATATCATATTTTACCTCTAATACACCACTATGTCCAACTGCTTGGAGCGCGCGCACGGCCTCCGGTGCGTGAGGTGTGTACGCGCTCTGGCGTAGTTTATGTTAACCCCGGAAGTGATCTCTCGCACGTATACGTCACTCATTGTTTACACAGTGCACAAACATTGTAGGTACGACAGCTAATCAAAATGGTACTTACTTGCGCGCAGCTTTAATAAGAACCATTATTAATAATTGAGCACCAATAGTCATTGATAATAATAATTATCAGGAAGCAGGAATAAATTACATTTTAAAATGTATTAAAATAAAAAACTGTGTGTGTATGTGTGCATATCTATCTTTTATATATAAAGTATAAAAACGTGTTAAACAAGTGGAGCTGAGAGACTTGTGGTTCTAATCTATCTGATCAGTAGCCCACAAAAGAGACAAATTAAATT